ATGGCCTCGCGGAGGAGAAAGATGCTATTCATCAGTTTGTGGTTGGCGTCGATGTGACGAGAATTTCAATGCCGGTGCTGAATGGGAAGGAGGCGGGTGTGGGGAGACGGTGACTGGGACCAGCGGGGGCACAGAGGCCTGTGTCACCGGGCTGAGGKACGGCCTGGGAACCGCAGGGGTTTGGAGTCTCACTTTCTCGAATCAGGACTTGGTCAAATCACGACCTTCTCGCTTACAGTTTTGTTGTTTATAAAAAGATGAGGCTGATTTCTTCCTGGCAGGGCTGTTGGGGGCCACAGCGAACAGGAGTATCAAGAAGCCCAGTGGCTGCAGCAGTCCACGCCTGTAACTCGGGAGATTGGGGAGGCTGAGGCTGGAGGACCACAAGTTTGAGGCCAGGCTCAGCAACTCAGCGAGGCCCTGTCTCAAAAATAAGAATAAAAAGGGCTGGGGTTTTATCTCAGGGGTACAGCACCCTTGGGGACCAAAACACAAAAAACAAATAAAAATCCCCAACACAGAGTCTGACACAGTGAGGGTTGAAATCTCTGTCCCTCTTCCCGCCATGTAGAAATCGGGGAACCGGGACCATTTACCCCGCTATGGATAGGGATCTGTTCACAGAATAGGTAAACCACAGATGATCGCTTCTCTATCACCAAGTTTCAGATGGAATACTTTGATCTGACGTTTTGGCAGAGCAGCATCAACAGACACTGTCACCAGAGGATCTGAGCCCTCGCGTCAGACAGGGTGCAGACATTCCCTCCGGGGTGGGGCTCACCTTCCTCTGCCTGGATCCTGGGTTCTAGCAACCTCGTTCAGACCGGCTTGACTAGAAAAGGGGAAGGTATCRGCAGAAATATCTGAAAAGCTCAGAGGCTGCGTTGCCTTCAGGCTTGGCTGGATCCAGCTGTTCCAATCATGTCGTCAAAAATGTGTYTCCGGCCACCTCTTGGCTCAATCCCTCAATGCCAGTTTGTATTTGGAGGCAGGCTTCTTTTTTTTTTTTTTTATTGGTGGCAAGGGGATCCAGGGACTCCCCAGCCTTCCCTCCTGCTTTAGAAAGAGAAGGCTTTGCTTCCCAAGTCCCAGCAAACCCCACTGTGTTGGCCATGATGCTACCCCAGTTCCCACCACTAGGGGCACTCTGATTGGCTGGGCCAGCTCACACGCCCTTCTCTAGGCGTGGCCTGGGGTCAGCAGGACAGAAACACGTGGGTGTCTGGGAGATGGACATTCCTCACCAGGAAGGTGGGGTGCTGTGTCAAAAGAGGGGGGCTGGGCATCCAGAGCCCCCCTGAAGGGCATCAGTGTGGCCCTAGAGTTTCAGAGGGAGTGTGGTGCAAAGGCTCAGAGGGGAGCCTGGTGGCCATGTTGCCTGGGGTCATATCCCAGTTCTGCATCTTATTTGGGTCCAGATTAGTGCCTGGTGCAAAGTTAGAGCTCTTCCTCACCATCTGTGTGCTTGGCCTCCCCTAACGTGTGCAGTGCACAACTGGTACACCTGTCCTTGGCAGTTCTGCTCAATGATTATAAACCGTTTTCTCATCCATTTTGTGGATGGGAAAAAACCTAAGCTCAGAGAGGCTGAGAAACTGACTTAGATAGGCTCATCAGGAGAGGGCTAGGGCTGGAACCAGATTCTGCATGATCTCTGGGTTGTTCCTAACCTTCATGAAAAGACATCCAAAGTCTTTGCTATCCAGAGTCCCCTTCATGGTAGAGGAGGAGGCCATGTTGAAAGACGCAGTGCGACCTCCTCTTCTCCCTTCTTCTGGTGCCAGATGATGCTCCTCTCTTCTTGCCCTGGGACTTCTGGCTCCCGGGACCTTGGCCTCTTCCCAGGAGTCCGGACCTCACCAAGTGTCTCCTGCCCTCGCTGAGCAAGGCTCAATGGCTGCGAGAGATGGGGAAGAATGTCCCAATCGCCGYGGTGTAGGGAGGCCTGGGAACGGGCACTGCGCCCACTTTCAGGAGGACAGCATCAAACCTGTCCCCACGGCTGCCTTCGGGAATCAGAGAAGACCTGGGAGGGACTCGCTGGTCCCATTAGTGGCCCTACAAGGACCCGATCGGCAAGAGGGACGTTCCCAGCTGATTTGGTGCTTCCCAGCCACGTGCTGGGCCGCGTCCTGCCAACTTCACAAACGCAAAATTGGGAAGAGAAGGACAAAGCTGTGGCCCGCAGGCAGTCACACCAGCTGTGCTCTGAGGTCCCCTGGGTCCTGCCCCCCACCAGGTGGGGGACGTGCCAGTCTGGGGTCTTCCCCTCACCTGAGCCTCTGCACCGCTTCCTGACTTTCCAGTGAAGCCGGGCGGCCTGGCGGCAGGTTGTGCTGGGGACTTGGAGCTGACAGGGACTGGGCCAGCTGTCACCTTGTCCACATGCCAGGCTGGCGGCCAGGGACAGAGGGAGGGGAAGGTGGCCCTTCCCCGAGCCCCTTGACCACGCCTGCCTCTGTTCCTCGGTCCCCCGATGGCTCCCGCAGGGGCCCCCCAGGACCGGGCTTCAATGTCCAGCCAGCGTTGCGGCCGCCGGGCTGATGGTGGCCCTCCTGACCAGCTCGCTGCCAGGCCCCGTAAACCACACCCACAGCCGCAGGAGGGGAGTCTCACCCAGGGCTGCTCTGGCCCCGCCGTGGGGGTGACAGGAGCCAAGCGGCTGGGCTTCTTCCTGCTCCTGAGGGTGTGACAGATGGGAGCCCTGAGAGGTGGCGTGAAGGTGGCCTGAGCGGAGCCCGGGAGGCCCCGCTGGGGAAGCTGTGGCGCTGCCCACGGGGATGGCGTGAAGTCCAGACCCCCAGACGCGGCTGTCTCAGGGTCAGCGACCCCCTCCACTCATCCCAGGTGGGCAGGGGCTTAGGACCACCTCAAGGTGGTCACTGTCCCAGCCATGGGACCCCGGCGGCTGCATTTCTTCATCTCTAAAATGTTACTGAGTCCCCTCCCTTCTCTGGGGACTCAGTAACAGTAATGGCAATAGCTGTCACCAGGGTCTTCTTTGGGGGGGTACAGGGATTGAACTCAGGGGCACTCACCACGGAGCCCCGTCCCCAGCCCTATTCTGTGTCTTACTTAGAGACAGGGTCTCGCTGAGTGGCTTAGGGCCTCMCTGTTGTTGAGGCTGCTGTGAACTCGCCATCCTCCTGCCTCAGCCTCCTGAGCTCATGTGACGTGCCGGGACCTGGCAGGTCGGGCTCCAGAGCCCAAGCTTTAGTGGCACGTGGGACGGAACAGGGCACCCATCATGGCCTGTCTGTGGTGGCCTTCTTTCTCTCTCCTCTGCAATGTACTTGTGCATGTCTGGAAGGTTCCGGAAAAGCTGCAGGAGCTGGGCAGGGGCTCAGGGGGGATCCAGGTCCAGACCCCGCCCAGCCCTGCCGCTCACCTGGAAACGGGGTGTTTGCAGGGCGGCCCTCACAGACCCCCCGAGGGTGGAGAGCGGGCGAGTGAGGCCTGTAGCACTCAGTCCCCTTGACATCTGGTCACTGCTGGACAGTCAGGAAGGTCCCTTTGGTTGGAAGGAGGTGAACGTTTTCCCGGGGGGGCTCCTCTCAGGGAAGGCCCCTCTGGCTCAGCCAGGTGTCTTTGCACAGCCTCTGTTGTGACATTCCCTTGGGTAGTTAACAGGGGCCCTCACCCAGTGGCCGCAGGGAAASAGATAAGCATGCCACCTCACCAGGACTCTCCATATGGTCTTGCCTTCTTATCGCCACCTTAACAYCATCAATCCCCTTGGAGATGGTGACCTGGTGTGTTAAGGGTGCTGCTCTGGGAAACATTTGTCTTGTCTCTGTTCCTTAGAGCTGTGTGGCTTTGGGCCAAGCAATGGCCCTCTCTGAGCCCCAAGTGTTTTCCTTAGGTAGTTCTCTAAGATTGTTTTCTGTTCAGAGAACCTGGAGTTCAGGAGTCAAGGAGTCAGTTGCAGAGTGGACGTAGTGTTTGTGTGCAGATCTGGGTTTCTCCATGGGAACACACCTGACTCATACCTGTCTTGAAGACCCTGCTTTGCCGTTGGGCACAGGGATGAGGAAGAAAAGGGCAAGAAGGAATGTCCACTTAGCCGATGGCTCTGAGCCTTGGGGAATCTAGTGTGGGCTGTGAACCTGGGAGAGAGCTCTCGTGCAGAACATTTTGTTTTTAAAAAGAAATTCACAGCCAGGTGCAGTGGTGCACACCTGTCATCCCAGTGGCTCAGGAGGCTGAGGCAGGAGGATCATGAGTTCAAGGCCAGCCTCAGCAACAGTGAGGCCCTAAGAAGCTCAGTGAGACCCTGTCTCTAAACAAAATGCAGAACAGGGCTGGGGAYGGGGCTTCATGGTCGAGGGTCCCTGAGTTCAATCCCCAGTACCTCCCACCCAAAAACGAACTTGACAGACCCCCTTTTAATCCTGAACCTGGTGAAGAAACTGTCCTGGGCAGGTTCCCGCTGACCGCCAGGGCACCTCCTCCAGGACACTTCCCAGTACCCCAGTGCCCTCATTCCCAGGACCCCGTGCTCGCTCCCTGTGGTCCCCAGGGGGTGGCCACTGCCCATCCCTGCCTGTGTCCCCACGGGAGGGCAGGGGCCTGCTGGTCGCACTCCTGGCCCTGAGTGTGTGTGGCAGACCCCTGCTGGGTGGGACTGAGTCCCAGCTCCTGTCACTGCAGGGGTCACACAGCTCCTTTCTCGGGCAGCCAGTGACCTTCTGGCTGCCTGGGTGCAGATACGTGTGTCCCCAGCTGCGTGATGAATGGCGTGGAGACGGGAGAGTGAACGTGCCACTGTCCGGGGGCTGGGCTGCGGCTGGGCTGC